ATTTTAAGATTTAATAAAATTAGATCAGATATAACTGTTTTTAAATTTTAGCGTTCATATTTGGCCGCTAAACCTGATAGTTTAAGGGATAGAGGTAAACAACCATACCAAACAACAATAACAAGCAATAACAAAAGAAAAATAACAAGTTATATAAAGCAAAAGTCAACAAAATGTTCTGGAAAAAGATTTATTACAAAAGAAGAAGCAGATTTAAAACTTAAAGCAGTATTAGAGGATATCCAAGACTTGTTAGCAGCAATAACTAACAAAATGATAGACATGACAATAAAAGAAATAATGACAGAATATACAGAGCAAGAACCTATCTCAAAAGAAATAGCTAGGCACAAATAGAAAGGCTCTATGAAGAATTATGGCAGTATAATAGAAGAGAACTAGAATATACAGAACTTGCACTTATAAAAGAAAACATGAGATTTTCTATAAAGCAATAAAAAAAGAAGATCCAGTTAATTGCATTATAAAAGAAAAATTAGTTGATTATATAGTAAAATTAAGAATAGCTGATGGAGTAAGAAGAGTACTAGTGCCAGACCCCAAAGTGGTCACCTTAACATTAAAAAAAAAATAAAATAAAAAGAGTACTAAAAGATAGGAGAAAACAAGATGCTAAAATAGAGTTGAAATTAGAATTAAATTGGAGCAAGAAACTTCAAAAACAAAGGAAAAATCGACAAAAACAGCACAATAAAATAGCTCTGAAGTCTATAATATAGCAATTTAAAGAATCTATCAAGACTACTGCAATAAACCAGCAAGAGATAAAAAGAAAAGTCAAAGAAGAAAAAAAAGAGATGCAAGTTCAACAAAACAGAGATCAAGCTACTACATAATATTAATATTTGTTTATCTCTTAGAAAGCAATTAGAAAAATATCTTTATAGACTATTATATAAATTAAATATAATACTCTAACTAATAATATTTTATATTATTAAATATAGATGAGTTTTAATCACACTAGTAAGTTTAGATTATAGATGAATCAAAATTTATAATTAAGATAGTTTCTGGTAGTCTAAGTTTATTCTTGTAAAAATTTTTATAAATTGGTTCTAATCAAAAGAACTCATAGTAGATCATTAATACAAATTATTAATAAAAATAAAGACAAAACCTCACTTTTTAAAAAAAAGTGTGTTGTTAAACATCTTCCAGAAGATATATATCTTTTACAAATTATTCAATAGTAAGTCAGAATTTTGTTAAAATTTCATATAATATAACATAATTACAAAAATTAAAACAAATATTTGTTTTTTTAAAAATCATTTATTTTTTAAAAATTTACATAAAAAACCACCTTTTATACTCTAACAAAAAATTTTTCTTGTATAATTTTATTATCTATTTTACTAAACTTTAAACCTAAAAAACTTTAATTCTACTTTAAATAAACTTATTAAATTTTATTATAGAAAATATATATCTCAGAGAGATACATATCTGAGTGAGATCAATAAAAAACAGGCAAATTGTTTTTAGTAACATTTTTTAAAAATTTAAATTTAAATATCTTATTAAATATTAAACCAAACTTTATAAAAATTTTTTTATTTTTATTCTATTATTATGTAGAATTAAATTAAAAAAATATTTATTAATTTGATTTGATAATTTTTAAAATATTTGAATTAAAAATTTAAAAAATTATTTAAAAAAAATTTGACTGTTTTCTATTAACCTTCTCTCATCTTACAAGAGATATCTATAATTTTCTTTATAAAAAATAAGAAATTTAAAAAAAATTTTGTGGATTTTTGCATAGTAGGTAATAATTTAATAACTATAGAAATTTGAAAAGTACAGTAATCTTTTTAAATTCAAAATGAAATATATTAAATAATACTTTATTATCAAAATAAGTAGTTTAAGCATCTTCTGTAAAAGAAGTGTATTTCCATAAATTACTCAATGATGAATTAGAATTTTATTAGAATTTAATATAATATAGCACAATTACAAAAATTAAAACAAGGGTGTAACAACTTAGTAAAGTAGTGAAGTTGTTGCATTCCAAACAATAAAGTATAAGTTCAATTTCTATGAAAGGTGAAAATTGGATTTTAGAAAAACGGATTTGACAACTATTGTCATGGCTGGGAAAATTCAAGATCCTGTAACTGTGATTGTACCAAGATAAAAATTAGAAGGTTCTGAAGTATTTGTGTAATAAAAAGGTTACACAAAGACATACAAACCAGTTTGGTTGGTGCAAAACCCAAGATAAGTCTTTTAGAATTATAGAAAACCACAAAACCAATACAGTGATGGGGCGCTTATTTGAGAAGTCCCGAATAGAGAAATAGCACAGATCTTTGATGGTACTACATGCAGATTAATATTTGGAAAATCAAATAAACTGAATAAGACCGAAGTGTTTAGCAAAGCACTCCACTAACCAAGCTGCTGGAGAAGTAACTATAGGAAAAGAACCTAATCGTGAAGATCAGAAGCAGGTTATAGCTCTTCCAAGCCATCTGAATTAGCAGTTTAGAATAGCTAGGATACTAGTAATAGTTTGTAGATGTATTGGAGTTTGGATAAATTCTATAAGGATAATAATAGGTAACTGTAGCGACTTCAGCTCGCAAGTACTTGTCCTTGGACTCAGCATAACTTACCGAAGAAGACTAGGCAATACGGTAATAGTGGATACCAGACTGCTCTAGTAGGTGATGCACTTGAGGATGAATCAGTTAACTATGCCAGTAGTCCTATAGATAGATATGATGATTTTGGAACTTGGACTAACTAATATATCACATGTTCTGGGTGAGGTTAGATAGATTGATATAGAAAACTCAAAGCAGAGGGTTTAAATGAGTAACTCAAGTAATAGTAGGTTATAGGTATGACATCTAGTGTAGCACCTAGCATATAGGTAAAATACTTAATTAAACACTCAAAAGATGCAAATATAGCTAAAATATATTCTCATCAGAATATACTTGTTCAGAGCCTCTTGAAAAGGACACCACATGATTCTACAATCTAATAAAAGCAATAAGCTGAAGAGGCTAACTTGACTATAAAAAAAACAAAAAAAAAAAACAAAGATCAGAACAAACTTTTGTTTTTTCAAAAATCATTTATTTTTTGAGCATTTAACAAAAAATTTAACAAACAATTTTGCTATATATCCCATTAACACTAACTTTAACACAAACTCTAACCCTATTTTAAACAAATTTGGTTATAGAAGATATATAACTTATATATATTCCATGAGAGATGCCTATAATTTTCTATTAAAATATCCAAATTATGCTAGATTTTATGCTAACAAATATAACATGCTAAATTCTGCTGTTAGCATAATTATGCTAGCAAACTTGAATTATGCTAAATTCTGCTATTAGCATAATTATGCTAGCAAACTTGAATTATGCTAAATTATGCTATATAGTAGCGTACCCTATCAACGTGGCATATCTGATTCCGCAAACCGCATTCCGTGAAACACAGAAAACCATCGTCCCTGTTGGTGATATTTCAAGAACTAGCGATCAGAATTGGATGATTTTGGTACCATTAGATTCGTCTCACCCGGACGAATTGAATGGTACCAGAAACGTTTTATTATAATCGATAAATCACTTGTTATTCGCCATAATACTTATGAACTCGCATCAGACAGTAATACCTATATTCATAGTCTCAAAATGTAGATCATAGATATTGATCAATTTCCATAGTCCATAGTTCTGCTTTTTAGCTTAAGGGACCTCCACTTTACTTATTGCTGACGACATTAAGAATGACTGAAGTGCATCAAAGTTAGACTGTAATTATAATTATAAATAATACTTGCAATAGTTCAACTTTTATAAAATGGTTATATATTTATAGTTTGTCTATTTGACAAACAACTATATATATATTTAAATTAGTAATCCAAATTCTAATAATATTTTAAAGGTCAAAATTTCTAACAACTCATTTATATAAAACCTGTTACGAACAGCCTTTTTTTTTTGACTTTCGAATTCGTTTAAACAATTATTAAAACATATAGTCGCCAATTAAAATTACTTCTCCAACAAAATTATTTATTTGATTAACCACAAATACGCTAAGTTCTTGCGAAATAATCCATCTGATTTTGAATTTTAAACCTAATCTGATGTATGTAAAAAATTAGAATATAATGAGCAATAAATTTCAACACTGACCTAGCCTTAATCTCCTCTATCTCGCTTATGCCTTTTCTTTGATCTCCTTTTCCCATTGTAATCATCAGTAACATTTCTAGATTTCTTGTCATTTGGAATATAATAATCAGAAATAAATTCATCGGACATTTCCATATCCGAACTTTCTTCAATATACACTGGTGATCTTTCACGCTTTTTTGGAGATGGCGGAATATAATGCCTATCATTTTTACTTCTTATCCGTGCAAATTTAAAATTTCTTAAACGATCAGTTTCCGCAATTTCAAACCTGAACGTGTCTAAGATAATGTCGACATCACGATGCCGTAGAAACCGGGAAGGGTCTGTTCCATATTGGGACAATACACTGCCAAGGACACCGTTTTTATAATCCTTGTAAAGTTGATCCCGACGCTTTCGGATATCAGAATTAATGTAGACAATAGAAGATAATATTGACTGACTTTGCAGGTCCTTAAATGTACCATCTTCATCGCGGGGTGTACAACGTTCCAAATAGCCGACCCGAGTGACCAAGCGTTCAAATGCGTGCTGGAATTCGTCCTTAATTATGCGCATATTTTTCGTTGAACGCGCTATATCATTGGTGGAGTCAGATGGATCTTGTATACAAATGTTTGTAATTGGATCTTTCGTTGCCCAGTCTTCATATTTTTTTTGATAATACCCTATATTTAATCCAGATCTTTTATCCTTCGCAACACGTATAGCAAGATCTTCATAATTATAATGAATGCCATAAAGTTCGAAAAACTCAATAAGCAATACACCTAGATTTTCATCTTCAGGAACAACTACGCCTTTTTGAATTTCAGGGTGTAACTATAAAATGTGGAAATTGTATTAAACAATTTGCCACATAAATTTATTGTTAAAAACGAGTATTTACCTGTAAGAAACTAAGTATCATGCAAAAGGCGGTATATCCACCCATACCTCCGCATGCAGGATCGTCAAGTTCATGATGATGTAAAAAATATTTTAAGGCTACCACCAATTTACCAAGGGAGGGCCATTCTTTCATGAAAAGTTTCATCGCAGCGGCGGAACCAAATCCGGAGGCTTGATTGAAAGATATATCAACATTGAATTTCGTGTACTTCTCTTTGAATTTAATAATTGGAACCTAGCAAATATAAACGTGAAAACTATGGTTATATATATATATGTATATATATATATATATATGTTTTTTTTTCTTTTTTTTTTTACTCACCACTGCATTCGCAATTGCAATAGGTCTGCCTTCACAAATATTATTTTTAGTTAATATTGATACAATATCTCTTAATGGATTCCTTTGATGTATAAAACATACTAGGTCAATATCACTTGTTGGAAGATAAAGATCCGTATTATAACTTCCAAACGCCAATACTTCTGCAGTTGAGTAAACCGCTCTGATTGCCATCTCGATACGTTTTATTACATAGGCACGTAATAAACGTTCTAAATCTGTTGGCAAAAGATAATCAAAAAATTCCAGAATTTCATAGTGCAATCTTTGAACCACACTTGTATATTTAACGTTGCATTCGTTGCTTAGCCAAGGAGTCTCTTGACTATTTGGACGCTTCCATTTATCAAATTCTGAACTTCTCCGTCTCTTTCTTGCATTATTTTCAGCTGCCTTTTTATCTTCAAACACTCTAATCTCTTCAGTTGTTAACGGATTTAAAGGAATAAACGGATCGTTATTAACAAATGCGTTGTTTACACTAGTTTTTTGGACAATCTCTGTGCTTCCTAAAACTGTCTTATTAACACGAGCTTGGACAGGGATTGGTGGTAAACGAAAAGACACCGGAAGTTGCTGTGAAAAAGGTTGATAGGATTGACAGGAAGAGCTTTGAGGTGGACCTCGTCCATTTATCTTTTCCATTATTTTTGAGGTATAAACTTCTAAGCCTCCAATAGGTTAAAGTGAATGAAAATGTTAACGTTTAATCACGATGTGTTAAAAAGAAAAAAAAAAAAAAAAAAAAAAATTAGGTTGCGTAAGGGGACCACCGGGATTGAACCAGTGACCTATCGATCTGCAGTCGATTGCTCTACCACTGAGCTAGGTCCCCAACCTTGTTCATCAAAATTTTTTTAAATAAAATTTTTTATTTTATGTCACGACTGATGCTGAAATTGACCTATACTGAAATTTAGGGCTTCGATCTAAAAATATAAGCCAGCTAAAATCCAAATATACACTTTAATTATAAATTCTAGTCCAAAATCTAACCCAAAAACATCCAAAAAAATTTCAAATTTCATATCAAAATACCAATTTCGACATCAGCCGTGACATTTATTGTTGCCAAAATAGAATTTAGAATTTCCTTATAACTTCACTGGATATCATAGAAATTTTCGATTTATTTGTTTAAATGATTTGAAAGCTAAGTGACTTTGCAACTTTTAATTTTTAATACTGTATATATATGTATTCAGTGCATTTGGACTATGTCGACCGGGGGTAAAATCGCCACCCAAGAAAATTCGAAAATCATGTGATATTGTCAATTACCGATCTACAAAGCGGATTTCACTATTTCGCAACTCAGGTTTCAATTCACCCTATTCTATAGTAAAATTAGAGGTGCAGGCGAATCGTCTGCCGAACTTTGCCCGTAACGTGCCGTAATTATCTCAGTAACTATAAAATAATTATAATGAGTTACGGTAAACATGCCGTTACTCATTATAATTATTTATCTGTTATAGTTACTGGGATATTTACGGGCAAGTTACGGCAATCGTTGGGACGATTCGCCTGCACCTCTCTAAGTAAAATATTAGTTGATTTAGTGTGATTTTTTTTCTTCGATTCTTCAAAATGAAAAGCAATCGATGCATTCTTGACGAACCAAGTGATTCTTTTAAAAGCATAAAATAAACACAATATTCTAAAAATATACATTGATACCAAATTTTCACTAATAATAAACGAAAAAAAGAATGAAAATCGAAATAAAATTATAAAAACTAATCAAGAAAATGCAATTGTACCAGAAAACCTTGTAGATTTTATTTTTAATGCCCTTCTGGAAGACTATAACTCTGATTATTTATTTAAGCAAGAAGTTTTTATAATTCTGAATCCAGAACGCAACAAAATAAAAAAAATTAATGAAAAAAACATAATAAATCCAAATAGTAACAAATGGCTCGATAGTACTAATACAAACATTGTACCATTGCATAAATTGGAGGATTATAGTCATTTTAAAAAAGCAACGGAATATTCCAAATACTTAGAAAAACCGTAATCATAATACTTTCTGGCTGTAATAAATACGTTGAGTTTATTCGAAATAAATAAAATGATTAATTTATTGCTTATCGTTACTATTTTGTTAGTCCAAAAATTTTTTCAAGTTACATGAATTTTTAGTGCTCGATATATTTGTTCGAAGCTTAGTTCAATCATTTCGGACGCATATATTTTACATGTCAAATTCACTCCATTACAAACACTGTTCGTATCGAAAACCCGAGATTAAGAAACTTTTATTATTTATATTTAAACTTTCACATACGTATATATATGTAAATTTATATCAAAAATGGTTTTTTTATTTAGTAAAAGTTTGTCTATTGTTTAAAACTCAAATTCTTGTAAGGTTTGAAAATATAATAAAAATAAATCTTAGTTTTAAAGTTCAATTATTATAAAACGCACCTATGGTGGTTTTGCACCTATTATATGTTTTTATTATGTTTTTTTAAATTTTCTAAACACCAATTTTTTCACGTTAAAGTTAATATGAAGGTTAGTATTAGGGTTTGGGAGGGGTTTTTGGGGGCGTAGAACATTTTTACTTAGAACACCTCACACCGATCAATTAGCCAGTTTTTGAGATAATGTATACATAGGTGTAAAACACCATAGGTGCGTTTTAGTAAAATTCTTAAAGCTTACCGATTTCTAATTTTTTATATTTTATATACTGTAGTTAATTAATTTTGGTTAGAATTTAGTTTAAATCAAAAAAAAAATTTTTTTTTTTTTGCTAAAACGCAAATTTTCAAAATTTTAGTTATAAATGATTTTAAATTTACTACGCTATGTTTTTAATTAATATGAGTGGTGCCAAGCGAAAACATGACCTCGTCAATTATAGTTTGTTAGTGTGATCCGATACGTATAATTTCGATCTGACGTTAATTTCAAATTTTATAGTGTAACGAAAGCTTTTGTTTTTCATTATTATATATTTACATAATAAAATTGGTTCACTTAACAACTAGTTTCGTCCAAAGGCACCACGTTTCGCCGAAGCTCATTTCACTGACAGGCTTACATTACATACAGATGATTAATTTAGAGATAAGTTCATTTCATAGTCGATATAATTTGCTAACAGCTCATTTTGCAAAGTAATTCTGGGATACTAACAACTCGACTCATGTTTATCATGTTTATCGCATGATCGACCACTAATTCATAATTCAAAGAATCATGTTAAAATAAAAAATGGCGAGACCACGGGACCCCCTTTATTTCATAAAAATTGTTGCCAAAATGACAACATACAAATACATCGTAGTTAAATAATACAAATACGAATAAAAAATCAACGGCCACTGAAGCCATAAATAAGTTCTCGTTACTTTTGAAAAGGTTATCGGATTGAGGGTAATCCCATAGCAAAGGATAATAATCAAACCTATACCAGATAGCTTTTTTTTAGATGTTTTCATAAAGAAAGAAAAATAAAAAAAAAGTAAAAATAAATAAAAAAATAAATTTAGAATAATAGCCCGAATTAATTTAGGTCGAAATTCGTAATTTCACCCCTGCGCGTTATTTCGCAATAATACGGTAAATAGAAAGATTTTAAATATTTTTTTTTGGTTTTTATTTATTCTATTCATAGAATTGTTTATTCACCCTAATAAATAAGTATGCCAACTCTGCTGAAAAAGCATATATCGATATACGAAATCTTATTATGCTATAATGTTTGGTTCCGATTTGTGATTTTATGTATAGTTCGCTTAGGCACCAAGTCGACAAACTCAAATTGGTTAATATTATCACAAGACCTCTAATCGATGATCGATCATCCCCGATCTTTTTTTAAATGTTCAAATTTTACAGTTTGATTAAATTATTTATGGTGTATTCAATAACCAACTCTGCTTAAACTTTAATATATTTTATATTTTTTAACAAAAATTAATGTAATATATAATAACAATTACATCTGAAAGCTACTACTAGAGTTGCTGGTGAAACTAAATTGTGCTGGTGAAACTGGTGATTATCTAAAATCTGATTGGCTATTGCACTTGATAGCCAATCAGATTTTTGATAGTCACCAGTTTCACCAACACAATTTAGTTTCACCAGCAACTCTAGCTACTACTGTATACAATGGAGTGACTGTTGGGAAATTTAAACAATATACATACAATATTAAATAATATATTTTGTATTATCAGAAAGCATCATTATTTTTCATTTCAACATCATCAATGCCTATTCCTATATCCTTATCCTCTTGTTGACTTAATTCTGTCACTTTTGTTCTACTAAACCACAAAGCTGTAGTATTCCATTTGGGGAATACTCGTTTATAAAGATTCATCATTACTGTATCCTGTTGTTTTATGGGTGAATCAAACACACATTTCATATACCCGTGTGTACCTAATGATTCTTTAATATGGCCAGTACGACCATACTTTGTGGTTAATTGAACTGGTTTAAACCATAATACGTCCTCTATTCATGCATGTGTTATATAGCAGAATATAATAAGGTGAATTAGAAGAAAATTATATAAATTTGAAATACATGCTGAAAACATATTAACATACCAGGATTAAAAAACATATATCTCACAACTGCAGATTTTTTGTTTATTTTAAATGGATAACCGGTTAGAATAATACGCTTTGCGATTATTCGTTTCGGGTCAGCGTTTAAAAAAAAGCCACTAGCCACAAATATTGGTGCTATTGCATAATTGATATAAATAAATAATTAAGCATTATTAAGGGCATATACGGGCATATACGAGAATTATTATAAGACCAACCATTAACGTCACCGGTATCCTTGTAAAAAGTGACAGGCAAGTTCCCGAAATTGATCGGACCATAAATGGTAGCGATATAAGATCTTCCAGGATTAATGAATTTCTCATATTTATGAACATTATTAGTACCTTTCCCTCCTAGTGTATTTTGCGAGTATAATGGCCTCACCACATATCGACGGAATCCACAATGCATGATAAGCGGATCCTTTGAAAAAAGTAGTTAAATTAGCTTATCAAAATGAGCAGTACAACATAAAGATGGTAATACCTTTGATTTAATTGGTTCTTCATATTCGCTATTTCTTGTTATAAAAAAATTTAAAACAGAGATTTTATGTTCATACTCAAGGAGGCCAAAAACTATAAACGGTCGAGATGGGCTATAGGTTTCTATAATGGACACAATCATTACAAATTATAAAAAGAAAAAATTGGCTAAATTTCTAATTTTGCTTTTTACCTGCTACTTGTTTGGGAACATTGGCTATATGTAGAGTAATATACGTTCCAACCTAAATATCACGTTACATCAGAAATGTGCATATGAACAAATTTTAAATATACAAATTAATGTTTCTACCAACTTTTACACCGCCTACATGGGAAGATGCCTGACTGATAACTCTACTTTTTGTTCTTTTATAATTTTCGAATTGAAAGATCCGACCGTAATCAATCGGTAAATTTTCGTTTGGATCCCATGGTGAAGTACGAAAACTTTGTAAACCTCGATATTTTTGAAACCGGATTCGAGCGGCCTTATCCAACGGTGTGTCCACTTCATCCGGAAATTCGAGATCATCTCGATGTTCTTTTTCTCGACTGGCCAAATATTCCTTTAACCTTTTTTTAAAAAATAAATTAACATTTTTACTAATTTGTGGCATAAAAAAAATTGACAGCTAAATTCATTAATATACGTACTGCCTGTCTTCTTCCTCAGGATCCAAGTGATCATTTAACTCACTTTGCTTACTCTCAACTTCAATGTCTTCATATTCCTCATCATATTCAGCTTCATAGTTAGACAAACGTGAATCGTCACCTTCATCATACATATTAACATCTCCATCATCCTCATCACTATAGCCATCACCATCATCATCATCTGAATACACAATCCATGCAGCCTGATATGAAGATGTTCCTTTAGGAACTCGTTTTATAATCTTCCTCGGAGTTGTTCCGGGAAGTGCACTTGGTATATCTTCAGATTTCATTAGTTCAATATGACCTTATATATCAAGTTTACGATCAAAAGTTTATTGGTTTGTTATTACTCAGACGATCCAATATCGTGCAATGCAGAAATATGTAATAAAAATGTTTTGAGCAGTAGGAAACTTCATTCCCGCTTGCATGCAGAGATAATGATTGGGGCATTAATATAATAATCGTATCTTTTCATTTGCATACCTTCATTACCGATAATTTCTTCTTCAGTTGGCCAAGTTTGCTCATTTGCCATAAAGTTTGGTTCATTTTCCGCAACTAGGGATTCCTGGTATGCATGATATGTTAAAAATAATATACCAAAACACCACGCAACGTGTAAATTCTTTCTCAAGTCGAGTAACTTGCCTGTTTTTCCGGATTTGAAATATCCAACACTTTAATATCTTCTACCTATTAATAAATACTAATTAGATAAAGTCATATGTTGCATAAATATATGAATTTATTGTAGACTTTTTTTATTTATTTATCTTTTTACCATATCTCCATCCTTGGATTGCTTTGGGCAGGATGTAATCTAAACCATAAAAAATGAATCAAATTAATCATTTTATACATACTAAAATGTGTTGTTTATAATGAAGTCAAATTTAAAATCACAAACTTGATTTAATTGAAAATCACCAAAGTTCTGCAAATGTATTAAGCGATTTGCGGAAAACGCTGTTCCTCTAGCATATCCCGTAACCCTAAGAGTTCCTTTATCCTATTATTAGTGGAAAAATTAATGCGAATGTATATAAAATTTTGAACTAAAAACAGTGAATAAAATATGTTACTTGATCATGATCATTGTCAAAAGATATCTCTTCTACAAGCATGTATGGACGCGTCTCTCTCCATGAGATTTGTTTAGGAAGTTGAGTACATATTGTTCTAAGTATGTTTAGAGTTTCCTGTTGATATATCATTGAAAATTATATAATGTTAAATGTGCAAATTTAAATAGCATCACAAGTTATCCCTTTTAATAATCTAATACCTGTGTCTGATCCGCAGCATGAATTTTCTCTTCATCAGGAAAAAAATAATTAATGAAGCTTAAAAGCGATTTTTTAACGTCATTGCGCTTCTTTTGTGGGATATCTTCTAAATACTTTTTACAAAATAAGTTAAAATGTTTTACACGAATAAATCTGGAAACTTTTGTAAAATAAAGGTAAGCCTAACATACCAAAACTGATGATATTATTGATGGAAAACCTTGGGATTGAATGGCTTTAAGGCATAATTCTCCAAATTGATCAGCCTCGACTTTTGCTGAAAGTACCAATAACATAAAATCTGCAACCTTGCACGCATCAAGAATATCAACTAAATTACGTTCTAAAAGCAGGAATTGTACTTTTTGCTTGAAACGTTCGGCGCTATCAATTTAAATATAGGATTAATTAATGACCACACAAGTCTTAAAAAAGAACCTCTTCTTACTTCAAGAAAGCGATGCTTCCATTAATTGATGAAGCTGATTGTTCGACGCTTGCATATATGTTTTTTACAACATCAAGTGAATTTACATCGGAACATAAAGGAATAACAGCCTAAATGACAAAAAATATATAGCTTGATTATTATAGTTTATATAAGAAATTAAACACGAATAAGTGTCTAACGGCAAATTAAACTAAATTTATACCACAATTTTTGGAGTACTATTCCGTCCTTCAAAAAATCTATTGGCTTTTATCAATTCCTCTCTCTTTTTTCTCTGTTCCAACTTGGCGGCATTGCGGCGATCGGCCTTTGAAATAAAATTAGGTCGTGGGGTCGATTGCTTTACAGGTTTACGTTTAACTTTACCTATATTTACTATCTGTGACTTCTATGACTTTTAACCATTTTTGTTCAATTCATGTCTAACTAACCTTTTGCTTTATCTTTCAGAGAGCCTTTTGTAGCATGTTTCGATTTAAAAGGTTTGTTTGTTTGCTTAAGAGTAGCTCTATGATGAAAAGGCTTTTCGGAAGGCATTTTAGATGCCTGAGTTCTAAATCAAGAAAATTTAATCAAAAAAAAATTTTTGATCCATCTGATCTATGACGTAATGAGTCTTTTCACGTTTATTATGGCGCAGTAATCGTATAACGATAATACGCTAATAAATTTGCACATATGGATTCTGTGCTGCAGTGTAACATAATATGCGAAGATATCTTGACAACTAACTAACATGAAAATTTTTTTATTTGAATTCTATGATATATACTATAGAATTCAAATAAAAAAAAATCCATCGAATTTGATAAAGTAATTATCAAGATATTTTCGTTCAATGTTTTAGAAAAATTTGACGCAGTTTCTATTTTAATAGACGGTTTAATTTATTTTAAAACTTTGAGTGAAGGTATCTCGACAATTATCTGATCAAATTCAATGAATATATTTTTATTTAAATTCTATAGGTCTATAGAATTCAAATAAAAAAAAATTTATTGAATTTGGTCAGGTTATTATTGAGATATTCTTGTTCAAATTTTTAGTAAAAGTTTGACCTTCTATTTTGATAAACATTTGGATTTTTTTTAATGTTTTGTATGAAAATATCTCGACAATTACTTGACCAAACTCAATGATTTTTTTTTTTATTTGAATTCTATAGATTTATGGAATTTAGATAAAAAATTTTCATCAAATTTGGTTAGATAGTTGTCAAAATATCTTCACTTAAAGTTTAAGAAACTTGTTTATTTTTTTACAATTGATCTGCACTGCATATTGTGTTACACTGCATCACTGATCGACAAAACCTGGCACAGAATCTATACATGTATTTCGTTACTAGAGTTCTGCAAGCAAGATGGAAATTCATTTTGATTGTGCATGTGACAATCATCGATTATTCAACATTAACCAATCAAATTGCAACATGTTTACGAAAATGCGATTTCGCTTATATGATGATAATTGTAACTTGTTAAATATTAATTGTCATTATTTTAACTACAAGTTCATAAGTATTTTTTATTATATTTGAAAACTTGAGATCGAATGAAATCAAATGTTCTGCCAAGTTTTCATAGTACTAACTTTTTATGATTTTTTAAAAATCTACCAATCGTTAACAGCATTAAGTGCCAGTAAAAAAGCATTGGGGTTCTCTCTTTTTACTTCTTCCACTGTATCATCTTTCTCATCAGTATTTTCTTTAGTTTTTTCTTGTTTTTCTTCTTTGGTAAAAGTATTAGGCTTTTTTTCCAATTATTTAATAAAACTTTCAACATTATAGTAAATGTTCTTTTTATAATATTTCCTACAGTGGTGGCAGCAATACTCCAGTATTGAATAACAGCTATGATGATAGTCGTGCCCACAAACTAGAACTTTATCATTATTCAAAAATTTATAACAATAGTCATACAAATTAGGTTCTGGGAGAAAATTTAAACTATAATCTATAGATAAATTTATTAATAAAACTTAAATGATTAAAATTTTTTTTTTTTTTTAAAAAAAAATAAGTTTTACTAATATTTATATTTCATGAAATTTAAATTTTACATAGAAATTTATACATATGATATGTGAAGTACTAATGAAAGTTTGGTGGATCTTTTGCAGTATAGATAATACTTATTTTAGATCAATTGATTAATATATTATTTATTTTTATTAATGATGTCATCTATATTGCAAGAGATCCTTATCATGCATTCAAAATTATAATTATTGAATTTTGTAATCTTATGATTACTATATTAAGATCACAGAAGGATTATAACTGTTTTTAAAAAGGTGTAAACAGACACAAATAACTATATTATGGAAAATTCACAAAATTACCTGATTTTCAAACTTTTAAAGTCAGTTCTAATCGAATCTTCAATTTTTACTAATAATAATTTGTCAATTTTTTGATTCCTCACATAGGTATGTGAAAATCGTTGTTCACATCTTTTTGAAAACAGCTGTAATTAATAATACCTTAACCAAATATGAATAAGTAGAAACTTCTTTTCCACTAATTTCTAATGGATCAGGATATTATTACAAATTTATTTATTAATTTTAGTTTTATCTGTAGATAGACATTTTGTACCTATGATTTCATCCAGAGTAGCCAAATAGTATTCTGATTTTTTTTGTTATAAATTTTGCTTTTTTTACGATTTTTGAAAATTTTTTGTAAATGATTTAGAAAAAAAAGTTTAGTTTTTTCTGTTAAAAAGTTTAGTTCAGATGGTATATAAGGATATTGTTTTGTTTTAATAAAGGCATCCCATAATTTTTCATTATTCTGCATATTTATATATATATAAATGTTATTAGTATTTTGAATGAATATGCTTGATACATAAGTATCAAAGTAGCTTTGTCTTGAATCTATTTTCTAATTGAACATGTGACAGGCCTAGTTACAGTCACATGTTCAATTGATTCTAAGAATGTGTGATCAGGGTTGTTGGTATGTAGTAATTAGTTATATAATTATGATATATGCTTGAAATTTCTTGGTTTTTTAGTGAATATGTAATAATTGAGTAAATATGAGGCAATTGAGTAAATATAAGTCGATTGAATAAGTATGAGGTAGTTAGATCATAGTATTTTAGAGATAGTTTGTCGTAATAATCCTAAATTCATACAACATTGTTTTGATTGGCCTGTGCTATTACAGTCTAATATGTAGAAATAACTGGTATTGATAATGTGATTTGTAGTTTAAAAAAAAAAGAGAAAAAAGAAAATAATTGAAAATTTGATGTTCATCAACTGCATAGATTGCTTGATAGCAAAAGGACAATACCTGTTTATGTTCTTCATAATAATATATACTCATAAATGAGAGATAAAACAAAATAAATAATTAAAGTACATACCGATTACATAAGCTTATCTTATAATATTTTTAGCCGTTGAGTTTGAAGAAGTTTGTGTACAAATTTTACTATGAAAATTCTCAATATAGTATTTATTAAAATTTACTAAAAAAAGTTTAAATGCTTCAAAAAATGAATGGTTAGTATCTTGCCAATAAAAAATATCAGATAAAAATGCAAGTGATGCTTTGTTATAATTATAATGATGCTATCGTAACATAAATGTCCAAATGTGAAATATTGTTTCAATATATTTGTTAAACAAGCAAGACCGAAAAAGAACAGAATATACTTCTAATACAGTTGGAATCAAATTATCCAAAAGATCAAAAACTATGCAGTATTCAATATCTTTACAATTTAACTCAAATTTTACTATAATCTTTTCTTTAATTTTATACCAACCACTATACACTAACTCTAGTAATAGGTTAATTCACCATGGTTTAGATTTCTTAGCTAACTTTTTTTTTGCCAAAAACGAAATGAAACAATTTTTTTTTAAAAAAATAGTATATAATCATAATATGCTTTTAGCTATTTAAAGAAACATGCAATGGCCCTAATAGTGAAATAAATAAACTAATCTTACAGAGAATATTAAGCGAAGATTTATTTAAATTTGTAATTGCCTTCTGAATAAAAAGCTAACTGGGCCAATCTGCTACAATAGGTGCTATACAATTATGTAAGTGCTCAATATCTTTATTAATTATTAATACCATTTGAAGTGCATTAATATAGTTGTACATAGGATGCAAATTTTTTTCTTGAAACCTGATTAATCATATATCTTTTGTAGATTGTTCTCCTTTTTGCTCACTTATTGCATCATCATAAACATGAACTGTTAATGATTCAATATTATTATAGTTAACTTTTAAACCCCTGAATGTGATTTATTGTAGCCTTCGTACTCTATATGAAATGTCAAAAATTCTATTATATTGATGTATTAATCTAAAACAAATATTATTCGCATTAATATTTAATGGATTGTGAATATGTGCATTGTTAAAAATAAGAGGAATTGATGTACATAATTTTACTGGTTTGCAAATACATATTGCAAAATGCAAGGGCATTGATAGTGTTATTGCATTAGATCGTCTTTCTTTATGAATATTATAATAGTTGTCCAAATTGTAAACATATAAAATATTATTCTAAATTAAAAAAAAGATTTAATTTATAAAAATAAATAAAAATAAAAAAATAAAAAAAATAAAAAAAATAAAAATTACATCGTTATTTGCAAAATAATTTCGAATGCTTTGAAGATGATCTTAAACAAGTTTTTTCTTGTAATTACTAATTATTTTATTATATATAGAAACACCCAAATTATGCAATGTATCAATAACCGCAGATAATATTCTGGATACTGAAAGATACAAGCCAACCTCTATCTCAAAACTATTAATGAACATATTTCTTGCATTAGACATCATATAGCAAAAACTAACTACAGTTTTTTTTGCTTCTATTTTTTTATATATAGATCTTTTATTAGGAATTAGTGCTCTAACCATTTGATCAAAAAATCCACACAAACAAGAATCAGCATTCTCTATCATTAGTTGAAAACACATGAGACTGAGTTCAATAAAACCAGGTTTATCATGTTGATATTTATAAAGAACCTTTGTAAGTATTTGAACCTGGTCTGCAAATGAAAGACTATTATTTGATAAAGATTTTTGTATATTACAATCTACAATTGTTTTATTATTAACGTTTGCTTCAGAATTCTGAATATTACAATATACGACCAGTTTATTATCAATGTTTGATTCAGGTTTCTGAGTATTTGTTTTTTTTTATTTCAACTAGGTATTTTTTTTTAAATTATGATCGGGCTCAACAATGTCTAAATAATGACTGTAACATATTTCTTGCCCGATTTCTAAATGATCATATTGTTCCAATGTTCCTTTTGTTTGTGCTTTTTTATATGCAATAGAGGTAATTTTTTGAAACATAGTAGAGTTCCTGCTACAATTTTATATAGAACAGGGGCTCTTATTTCTTTTCATAGTGGTGAGGATGGCAGTGATATAAAAAATACAGCAACAGGTGATATTGCCAATATAAATAACAGGTACGTATGCAAGTAATAAAATACAAGAAAAATGTACTAAAAAAGTTTTTTTTTTATTTATACATATGAGAGAAAAAATATATATATATTAGTTGTTACTATATGTATGTCTTTGTATGTTTCAAATATTTTTATGTTAGGAAAAATAAAAAAAAATCTAGTGCCAGCATACCACAATTTCTTAAATGACTTTAACACAATTCTATTTCGATAACAATGGCCAGTATAAAGCTATGCTATGTTTAGAAAATGTTCCGGGTAAGTACTTTCTCAGTAAAATAATAAGAAAAAAAAAATATGGCATACCCCAATCTTTTCTCGAATGCCTTTAGCATATCTTTAACACAATTCCATTTTAATTACGATAACAATTGCCAACTTTGATTTGTATCGATTTAATATCAACCCCAGCATTATTCTTTTATAACAATGCTAACTTGATTTATTTCACTATTACGTATTTTTTTTTATTATTATTGGCGCTATTATAATTACAGTATTATTACATATTATTACTATGCATTTGTGAGAATTTTGCGTTATCTGTGATTTCTGCGGCATTCCGTGAAATGCGTAATGCAGATCACGTGACTAAAATGACCAATCAGAATAGAATGTCGATCATTGTCGATCTTCCGGATTACAGCCAATTAAAATGAATTTCCGTCTTGCTAGTTCTGCATGTGCTCATGCACCATACCGGGTATTAATGCTTATAACATGCCTATGTCGATAGGAACAAAAGAGCCTGTCTTAAAAAGTACCAGGAACTTAGCCAAGCACTTGTTAACATATATCTATAGTAATACTTTTAGGTCTGGCTACGTATCTAGTACTTTTAAGCCAAAAACGAAATGTCCGTAGGCATATAAGTGTCTAGCACTTTTAAGCCAAACATAAAAGTGCACACAGATACAGAAATGCCAGCACACCTTAAGCCAGACACAAAGTATCTATAGGCACAAATGCCTGGCATTTTTAGGCCAAACAAAAAATGCCTGTGTCTTAAAATTTTTGCTAGACACAGAGAATAATATGTTAAGGCTTTGATGCTTACTGAAAAAAAAAAATTAGTGAGGCTCTATTAACGAAACTACAGCCGCCCATTAAGTAAAAATGTTCTTGAATTACTTTTATAGAGTTCACATATAAAATTTAAATTTATTAAACCAACACATTAGCAATATGGTCAAAAAAAGCTCCAAACCGTCTAATAATCTATTCTTTAATAACTTTCACCAATCATCAGGCAACCCGAAGGATGTTCTATAGAATAGGTGACAAACTCCGCCAACTCCGCAAC